AACCTATTCAAATGCTGTCTGTTCTTTTTACTAAGCTAAAATGTCAGCTCAGTTATGCTATTTGACCAAGCTAAGGTACACTACGATATCAATCAGATTGTGATGGTCCACTAATTAAGAGATGTGTTTATACAATTGAAATTTTAACTGGAATGACTAATGATACTGTACATAATCTAATGTTGAGTTACTTTCATTTTTAGCCTGATTTTGTTCCAGGCAGGAAATAATATAGTGATTTGGCACTAACTTCAGTGAAAGATCAAAATGGATATTCTGATCAAGAATATTATGCAACTATTTGTATTAGAAAAAAATAAACTTCAGTGGGTATATCATTCATTACTCCAAGGTTCTTATTGAAAGTAAGAATTCAGCTTCCCTAAAAAGGACTTACAAAATTCTCTGATTTCTGATTTGTTGCCATAATAAACAATGTTCCTTTGAAAAAACATGTGAAGTGCCTAGAATACTGGACTTTTAGTTATGAAATATAGTTACTATTTCCAGTTCTTGCACAAACTTGTCATCTTATTTGAAGCAACTCATATAACAAATTTGTCTCTGTGTCTCCATTTGGAGATGATACTGAAATAAATCCATATTTCCCTAGAAATATAATGATTTAGAGGATTTGCAGTTGTTGTACCAGTTGTCAGCAGTAGCGTGTGCAAACACCGTTTATTTTGTTACAACACTAATCAGATAACAGCAGTCCAATAATATATAGCTCCATAGTTTCACTGGTCCACATTTGATTGGATTAGGCAAGTACTGAACTCCACATCTGAAGCCAAGAAATAATTTTCCCACCTTGAATAAGTAGTTTTTCCATCCTCAGTACATCCATGCAGGAATTTACCAAAGGATGACTCATGCTGACTGGACTTGTTTTGTTTGCTTTGCCCGCAAAACAAACAAAACTAGTGATGCCTATTTGGAGTATACATTTGCTTGTGTTGGACAGCTTTACACTGGACATCCTCTTATTTATTGTAAGCAGTTGTAATTCTTACCACTATGTGTGGGCCTTATCTTGCTAATACAAAACCTGAAACTCAGATATCTATGAGCACAGATTTTGCTAGAGGGTACAACCATGAAAGGACTCTATCAGTAGGTCTCTTGGAGGGAACAGTTTGAAAGGATCCTTTTTAAAAGTAATGCAGGATTGTTGGCTTGGGATACAACTACACAAGCAGTTTAATATAGGCAGGCAGAGTAATTGCTTGTTTAGGAGATGACAAGAAATGGGACACTTAGTGCTTTCCAAATAAACACTGCAACAATGTGCAGTGTTCATAGTGAAGCTTCATCCAGAGACTTTTAAACCTATATTGAGCTCAATTCTCATAACAGCGTCTATGCAAATACTTAGAGGGTACCTGCATTTAGGGAAAATGACTTTCTTTAATAGTTTGAAAGAAATTATTAATATTTAATACATCACCCTATTAAAATATACAACATGGATATTTATTGAGAATCACAGTGTGGTTGGAGCTGTACAGTATATAGTATGACAGGTGAATCCTGCCAGAAGGCTTTACAACCTAAACTAAACTTACAAATGAAAGTGAACATAATATAAGTGCCAGATAAAGGTCCAAACTCAAAATGAGCATGATATTTTTTATCATGGTATTCTGCAGATTAGCTTTCTAGAAGTGATTTTTGCTGAAATGTTTTGTAGCATAAATTATTTTAAGGAGGATTTTGACTATTCCAGAATAATTGTCTCTTGATGCTAGACAAAAGCCAAGGCAAAGCGGGTGACATTTATTTGTGATACATAGTGCTCTTTTCCATTGTTCTTATTACACCAAACACTTAAGGAAATAGATAGTGTCGTTTTGGTTGGTAGACACTAGATAGTAGAACAACATTTATTCTCTGTTAATTAGAATAGTTAGTGAAAGACTACATTCTGATTATCTCAGAGAATTGATCTTAGCCATCCAGAAAAGCAGTTTATAAAAAAAACCAGATAATTTTAAGTCTTTTGAACAAATTTAAATACACTAAAATACAATGAAGAAGGTTAAATCCTGCTTCCTTGAAATTAATGGATGTTTTGCCACTGACTTCAGTGGAGCCAAACCAAACCAACATATAAGTATATTCTCTAAAATGTTTGAGTCGCTTCAAGAGGCAAATCATTTATTTGGATCTAAAGCCATTCAGAAGAAGCATGGGAAGAAAATGCATAATACCTTTTGTAGATGCAGAAACTGTCAGCTTTAAGTGTAAAGAAAAAAATACTGATGTATTGTCTCTAATTGAATTTATAATTATCAACTAAGCACTTAATAGATTTTTAGCAAAATAACACTTCATATAAAATAAAGCTGCAAAACCTTTTCAGTGTATTGTAAAATACATCCTCCATAATCAAGTAGAAACAAACAGATTTGATGACTATTTAATTAAAGGCCAAATTGAATTGATACATGTCATGTTTGCTATATATTTCAATTTTTATAGACAAACATGCATGGCAAAGTTCACCATCAGGACTGTTCACTGTCATTAACCAAGTACCTCCAAAGAGCTACATTCCCAGGTAAACTATTTCCATATAATTAGTATAATCACACTGAGGGCAGTACCATAAATATGGTATATTTGACTGTGGTTATGTGCTTACTGCACATAATCTTTTGACATTAGACATTAGGGCTGGAAGGGAACTTGGAAGATCTTCGAGTCCAGCCCCCTACCCCAGGGGCAGGAAGTCAGCAGGGATCATAGGATCCCAGCAAGATAAACATCCAGATTTCTCTTGAAGGCGTTCAAAGTAGGTGCTTGAACAACCTCCGGTAGCAGTCTATTCCAGACCTTGGGGGTGTCATAACCCAAGGGTATGATTTTGTATGTGCTTCAGCACTGCAGAATTATTTCCCGCCACGAGGAGCTTTCTTTGCACGGTGCAATTCTCAGTTGCATAGAGAAAACCCCGGTGCAAAGGAGTTCCCGCCATTCGCATGCAAATTTGTGACCCACTATTGGCTGTTTCTAAATTATTCCCACATGGTGGCTAGCGATTGGCTTGCTAGCTGTATAAGAGGCTTGAGCGGTTTCTGCCCAAGTTGGAGATCTCCGAGAATCTCAGGAGGATCCTGAGAACCCCGATTCCGAGAATTCTGGGAGAAATCCGAGAGAAGTCCGGCAAGGAGTCCATGATCACCTCGTGGACTTCTACATAAATCTCGGACCGACTGGTAGCCTGATCAACTACTAAGAATCTCTTCCCGTTGCCGCCTAATCCCTCGACGTACCCTTCCCTGCGCGCTTTCGTTCCACGGAGCCTAGCAAACTTCATGTGTGTGTGTATCCAGAGCTCTTTCTGAGTTATCGAAGGCCTCGGACCACTCCCGGCCCGCACAGGGGGCTTGGACAGAAAGAAGTTCTTCCTTATGTCTAGCCTGAAACGGTCTTGCAGTAGTTTATAACCATTAGACCTTATCACCCCTTGGGGTGCTCTGGTGAACAGACATTCCCCCAGATCATGGTAAGCACCCCTTATAAACTTATAGGCAGCAGCCAGATCACCCCTGGGCCTGCACTTTTCCAGGCTGAAGAGTCCCATAGCTCTCAGCCTCTCATCATAAGGTCTGTTTTCCTGACCTCTGATCATGCATGTGGCTCTCCTCTGCACTCTCTCAAGCTTCTCCACACCCTTTTTGACTTGTGGAGCCCAAAACTGGATGCAGTACTCCAGCTGCGGACTCACCAAGGCCGAGTACAAAGGGAGAATGACGTCCCGGGATTTGCTTGAGAAGCATCTATGGATGCAAGCCAGTGTTTTGCTCACTTTACTAGCTGCAGCATCACATTCATGGCTCATGTTCATCTTGTGGTCAATCATGACCCCCCAGTCCCTTTTGTCCGTAGTGCTAGCCAGTGTAGCACTGCCGAGCCTATAAGCATGCTGCAGGTTTTTCTTTCGAAGGTGGAGAACCTTGCATTTTTTGGTGTTAAACACCATCAGGTTCTTGTCCACCCATTTCCTGAGCCTGTCAAGGTCAGCCTGGATCGCCCTCCTGTCCTCAGGTGTGGACGCTTTACCCCAAAGTTTGGTGTCATTGGCGAACTTGGCCAGTTCACTTCTGACACCAATGTCCATATTATTAATGAAGATGTTGAACAGTATAGGCCCAAGAACAGAGCTTTGAGGGACCCCACTGGTTACAGCACACCATGACAATTGACTTCTGTCAACCACCACCCTCTGGGTCCAACCACGGAGCCAAATTCCCCAGATCGTGGTGAAGCCGAGGCTGCAGTTGGCCAGTTTTGCTAAGAGGTGATCATGGGATACCAGATAGAAGGCTTTTTTAAAGTCAAGGTATATGACATCAGTCTCTTCTCCCTTGTCCAGGTGATGGTCACCTGGGCATAAAAGGAAATAAGATTGGTCAAGCAAGACCTACCCGCAACAAACCTGTGCTGGCTATCCCTCAGGATGTTGCCATCGGCCAGTCTGTCAAGAACGTTCTCTTAGAAAAGATTATCAAAGACCTTCCCTGAGATAGAGGTCAGGCTGATGGGCCTGTAGTTTGCCAGATCCACTTTCCTCCCTTTCTTGAAGATAGGCATGACATTGGCCTTCTTCCAATCTTCAGGCACTTCACCAGAGCACCAGGAGTTCTTGAAGATCTGTGCCAGAGGCTGAGCTATGATGCTTAGCCCCTGGCATGGATCTTCGAGAACTCCTGGCACCTTTATGATTTTGATAAATGATTATAATATTATTTAGTGAAAATTGTTCACATCACCTTATGTCAGTATATAAAATATTTTTTGACCTAACAACCATCCTAACCAAGAAAAAAAATATACACTTTTTTTTAATCTTCACCTCATTTTGATAAAAGTTATCACTATTTTTTAGTAGAACAATGTTGACATGAAATTGCTTTGAGTTATAAAAAATAGATGCCATGGACCATGTAGTAAATAATTCTGCTTAATCAACTTCATCCATATAAATTACTTACCTCATCCCCTATCACAAGTTCTTCCCTGGGACTGTGGAAGAGATACTCATATAGTTTATAGTGTTGTAATAAGCTGAAAAACAGAAGAAAATGTAGCTCTAGCACTTAGAATGGAAGCATGATAAAAAACTGTTTCAGTTGCAAGTAACATTTTTCCAAGAGAAAGAAACCCCAGTATTAAAAGAAGTTAAGTTTCAGTAATTAAAGCATTTCACATAATACATTTAAAGCATTCACATTAGAGGCCTGGGAAACATGACTTATGAGGAAAGGCTGAAAGAACTAGGTTATTTAGTCTGGAAAAGAGAAGACTTAGGTAGGGTTTGATAACAGTCTTCAAATACCTGAAGGGTGATTACATGGAGGATGAAAATAACTTTTTCTTTGTGGCTGCAGGGGGCAGGATTAGGAGCAATTGCCTCAAACTACAGCAGAATAAATTTAGAAAGATTTTCCTATCTCCTATCTGACCACGAGGGTGGTCAAACATTAGAAGAGGCTACCTAGAGAACTTGTGGAATCTCCATCCCTGGAAATTCTCAAGGGCAGGTCAGACAAGCATTTGACTGGGATGGTTTAGTGAGGGATGATCTAAACTTGAGCAAGGGGCTAGACTAGATGTCATTGTAAAACTGAGTTTTAGCAAACTTAATATTGTGTCCTGAAAAATGACTCCCGAGGCAATTATTACCAGGGAATAATGTGACCCACAGTTTCTTCACTACTGAAGACACAGCATAACAAGAAAATGAAGCCAACTCAACTTTCAACTTTCAGGCTGGGTTGCCAGTACACCGAACATGTTTGAAAATGTACTGACCCTCAACAGAAAACAAAGATGGGAGCACATGATGCCATTTTTAATGGTAACTTTGGATGTATACCCATATTCATCCTGTTTGACCATTCCCGTAGCATATGCCACCACTGATTCCCAACTACTCCACGCCTGACTACAAAAAAATGGAACCATGAAAAAACACTCAAAATGGCTCTGGTCTTTTCTTACTTGATTTTGAAACAAACATTCACTCCATCACCTTCAAAGCACTAATGTGTAGACTCCTATACAGCTCTGTCTTCCCTTCCATGCTATGCAGTGTGTTTGCATTCACTAAGACATTGGTAGAAGGTATTTTATTCTGTTTAATTAGCAATTTCAATAAAAAATAGAACAAAATCAAAATTTCTGTCCAGCCCCAATTATCTACTAGGTAAACAAATATCAGTTTATGTATGGAGTATCAATTAAGTATACATTCTTAAGATAATAATAAAAAAGGTAAATATCATGTTTTTCACAGTGCCAACATCTTTAAAAAAATGCTTAACTTTTGTGAATATGGTCAAAAGTAAGTTAAACCGTAAGCTAGATACTACAAATGTGTGAAAAACTTAGTTTCCATCACAGAGATCTCTTTTAAAGTAGTTGACTCTATGGAGGAAGGGGGGGGGGGGCGCATAACATTTTAATGCTAGCAAAACAAAAATTATTTTATAAACACTTCTTAACAATGTGGAAAAAAAGAGGTAATAACTTATTATGAGACCCCTAGAAACAGATATTTTAGAAATAGAGCCATATAGTTACATATTTGGTATATTCAATTTTAATTTGCTTTCACAACTATATCTTTTCATTGCTAGCGGTATGAGTTATACAAGAAGAGAAATAGGAACTGTCCCTGTATCAACAGGGTTGAGGTAGAGGGAGGGAGCTCTGACATGGAGTGTTCAGCACATACTACTGCCATGAGAAGTTGGGCCTGCAAATATGCACTGACATGGTCATGGCTCACAAGTAGGTCCTTAAAAAAAAGTTTTGGATTCCCAGAATAAAAAAAGTTCTTCTTTAAAAGCTATGGCTTGTGATTTAGAGGAAGGAAAAAATGTAAACTGAGTTACATGTTCTTTCATAACATTGTAGAAAGCAGAGAATTGTTGTTCTACTTCATACAAATGCAATAATAAGGTTTTTTAAATACTGGAAGAGCCAGAAAATCATTGCATGTTTTACTGAAAGGTTAGAGCAGGAAATAATCAACATTATGATATGACTACTTGCTAAAGATCACCTCAGCTAGGAACAAACATTACACACAAACTCATTTAAGTGATCAGAAACTGGTTTAAACCTGTAACAGAACAGATGTTCAGTGCACATAAACCAGTTTGAAAATGGATGAAACTGGTTTGAGATGAACCTGTTTGAATCTAGCATCAGACATAACTGATTTGGGTCAAACCGGTTTATACAATGTCTGTCCCAGACCCCTTCCTGATTTAAATTAAAGCAGACTTCCCCAGCATCCCAACATGCTCTCTGGGCTGGGCGGGGCTCTCTACTCCATGGCAGAGCTGGCCCCTCCCCTCTGCTCCCTGGCTGCAGCTATGGTAGATGTACCCCTGGGGGTATGCAGAACATCTCTGGGGGTGAAGAAATTGTGTAGTGGTGAATTTAATTTTCATTATAATAATAATTGCATTTAAGGGGTTAAATATAAAATGTATGTTGGTAGGGGTACATGGGCAGCTCATAAATCTGGAAAGGGGTACCCAATAAGAAAAAGTTTGGGAACCTCTGATCTACAGTATCCATTCATTTGAAGTACATTTTAATTATAAATCATCAGCAAAAATGTCTACTATGTTGCAGTTTAAGATATAATATCACTATGTTTATACAGCCTTCATCACTTATCTGCAACTCAGACAAGTTACTAAAAATACACAAATACACATATTTTTTGTAATATTTTAGTCAAGATCATTACAGAAGACAAAAAGTATGTTGAGAGCATTACAGATATTTAAGAAATGATTACTAATTTTTGACTCATTAGTAAAAATAAGTTTTAAGTCTTATTTTATTTATTAAAATAGCTGGGAAAGAAGCCAGACTGACAACACTCTGAAATCAATTCCTCTTCTTATAACTGCAAACCCTTTATGGAATTCTGTTGAGGATTATGTTCTATGTAGAGATCATTTTATTAAATTCCTATAAACATAAATGATTACTTTTGGCCGCTTGGAATCCATTCTTTACCAGAGCTATGTTTAACCTGGCACCCTTAATTCTACAGTAAGAAAAGAAAGTCTCCATTTAATGGTCTTTAAATCAAATCATATAGACTGTAGAACATCAGTATTAATCCTCAAACAGTTCTGTAGGTTTCCCCCCCACACACACACAACATGCACATTAACATGCTTTTTCCTTGTTTCTATTGTTAACAACAGTGATATGTTTGTGCCTGTTATTACTAACAATTGCACGGAAGTATCTTTACTCATGTAAGCAAGTGTTTAAAAACCTTATATGATGTCATGTAGGAATCTGAAGGTAATTAACACTGACATATTTTCGTAGCTCAACTCTTTTCTGAAAGAAAATGTCAAGAGATATGTTGATGTGTGTTTGCCCAGGGAGACAAGATGAAAAAGATGATAACTGTCACCTTTCACCAAACTTGAAGGTGTCATTATAGCTGCTGCACAGTTTGCACCAATATAGTTAAGCATTTGTCCCCATTTCCATTATAATTCTCATGGGTTAAAGCTCAACTGTAAAAATTTAATCTGAACTGAAACATGGCATATTATTTTGAGTAAGGAAAAAACCCCCATAACCCTATTATTTAACATCAATCAAGTGAAAGAAAAATAGAAAAATCCTATAATACTGCATTAATTAAAATGTAATAAAAATCACAGTTATGTTTTTTAAAACAGCCTTGACAAAACTAGAGTGTTACAATATAATTTAAAAGAAATTATATTATCTGCTGAAGTAATAGATTTTATAACTAATTCTATGCTATGTGCTTCAGTATGTATAGGCACTTGTAGTACATGTGCATACTCAGCCATTTCAGAAGATTTTAAACTTTTGAGCAGGCTTGATAGCCAGATGAATATTCTGTTGATAAATTTGTGTCACCTGAGCCGATTCTCACTGACTCTGGGATTTCAAATGAAGTAGGAATGGGTTTCTAATCTACACTAACATCTGCACAAGATTTACTTCATAGACCTCATCAGTATGAATATATGGTTACCCAAGACCCATTGTGATCTTTCATACAAAGAACATTTTGTTAGACCCCAACTCCATGCAGCACCCAACGACTAGGGAGACGACGGTCCAATTGCTCATTAGTCAGAGCAGACAGGGAGCAAACTCCAGCACACATTGCTCACAACAGCTTTATTCAGAATGGAGACAGCTTTGGGCGAGCTCCCTCACAGACACCCAGTCTATGAACACGGGGAGCAGCAACGAACAATAGTTTTTCCCACATTTATACACTTTGGTTTATGCTCATTACCATTCATTCTACCTCTGTCTGTCCTATGTTCCACCCATTTCTCCTCCCATCTTAAGCTCCGCCTCTGTTTACTGTTTGCTTCATTAGCATGGAATGTCCTATGCATTTTACTCATTTACATGTCTTTTTGCTATAAGCGCATGTCTAAGATCTTGACTTCTCTTCTTCGGTCAATGGGTGAAATTTGACTAAAACATGGAAGCTTCTGGAGGCTTCTTCACCAATCACTGTTCACCTTTTCGCATATGTTCATCTCAGATTCTGTTACCAATTACATGTTGTTTTTCACATTCCAATCTGTTTTTCTGTCTCATGTTGTACCAACTTCCACATTCCTCAGACCCTTGTATCTTATCTTGTTGCTTCCTGTAGCTGGTTCAGAGCACACAGACCTACACAGACTCACTTTCTTCTTTTTCTCAGAAAATGGTTGACACAGTTAAGATGGCTACTTAGCATAAGCAAATGGCTGGCTTAACTATCATTCTGCCTTGTGGTCAGCAGCTCTGCTAGGCCACAGGTTAAAGCCTTGTATTCAGCTGCAGATTCAGTGCTCCCTGAAAATCTAAATATTGTCACCCTAACACATTTAACTCTCATGTGAAACCTCTGGAAAGGAATAACAAAGCAAAAAAAGGTGAACAAGACACAATAAAAGCCAAGGAACCTTGCAAGTTTAGGGCTAGAGCTAGGCAGGAAATGGTTTGTTATTTCAAACAGTGGTATAACTAGGGTAGGGCAA